GGAGGAGCTTCTGGAACTCCTGATCAGCGACCACTTCCCGTAGGTACTGTCTCTGCCGTGCAGCTCAGTCCCAGCAGGGAGATGCCAGGGCGGGCAGGGCCCCTAACGCCGCCCGGGGGTGGGGGGTGGGCGCCCTGCACGGGCCTGCGCCTGTCCTTTCCCTCTTTGTGGCTGGAGAGCGACCAAGCCTGTTGTGGTAACCTTGATGGTGACGCTAATGCACGTTCACTCCGATGCCTCTGGAACCAGCCCCCATCTGATAAGTGAGTTAGTCCCCAGACGAGCATGGGACGCTCCGGAGATAACCGTGTGCTCAGCACGGACATGAGGTGCTCAGTTCCTCCCAGGGGACGGCCGGAGAGCCAGCGTCTTCCTCCTTCCCACGCCTGCCTGTTCTCCTGCCCGTGAGCCCCTCCCGCCCGCTCTTCATCTGGAGCCCGTGTGGGGCCGCCTGGACGTGACCGTGCCTCCCCCCGCCCCGCGGTCGTGGGCGACGCCTCGTGCCCAGCGGGGCCTCTGACACGCAGCTCCCTGTCCGGGACGTGCCTCGTCCAGATCCCTGTGGAGCCCTCAGGCTTTGGGTCTCAGTGTAGAGCTGCCTGCCCCGCCTCCCCTCCGCGGGCTCCTCTGAGAGCCCCACTCTAGCCTGTTCACTGGTTGGCCGGGGTCCCCTTGCAGTGCTTGCCCAGGAGGGCGGGCGCGTGTGGTTCAGCACTGCACCTGATGGGAGTGGCCGTGTCTGCACACAGTAGGCCTTAACCCTTTGCGGTCCAATGTTATTTTTGGAATTCAAACAGTCTGGTCCAAATTGATTGATGGGATTGAATGTTGAACTTTTTAATGTTCTTATTGCTCGACGTTGGACCTGCTCCTAGCGCCTGGTCTGTTGAGTCAGCCTCGAGGTTGGACTGAAAAGGGTTAATACTTATTGTTGAGAGCGCGAGTGCCTCAGTCCACTGGTGCCCGTGCTGTTGTCTCAGCCGTCAGCGGTTATTAATTGCACACATGTGTACACATGCACACACACACATGCATGTGAAACAGGTGGCTGTCCCTGAAAATGTGGCTCCAGAGAACGGGGTCCCACCTGAAAGAGAAACGCCACCGGCGCCTGAGGTGGAGTCGGGGTCCGGGTGCGGCTCCGCCGCCTCCTCACGCTCAGGGCGCCTGTGCGAGGCGGAGAGCTCGCAGGGCCTCCCCACAAACCACCTCACCGAGTGCTTTCCGTCCTCGCCGTCGCTCCCGGCTCCGCACGCACTCGGCCGTCCTGCCGTTTGTTTTCATTACTCGAGGATTAACGGCTGCGTTTAGGGCCGTTCCGCTTGGAGAAGGGACAGTGAAATTCAGGGGTCGTTGGCAGCGATCACCAGTTTAATACCAGGAATAGCCCGGAGGCCGTCCTGGCTCGTTCGTTCCGGCGCCTGCACAGTTTTGTTAAGATGAAACACTTTAATATCCAGCCCTCACTTCGGGGCAGATTCCGATTCCGTTGTTATTGGTTTATGACTTACTGCCGAATAGGCTCCCTCTTCCTGCTGCCCCGTCTCCTGTGCCGCGTCCTGCCCAGGCGGAGGCTGGGACACCTCAGGGCCTGCCTCCAGGCGCCTCCTCCTCGGGGGTGGGAGGGGGGGCTCCCCTGCCTCAGAGCACCCGGTCCTGTGAGGGGCGCCGAGTCCCGGCTGCCAGTTTGGTGCATCTTGAGAATGGCGGCTCAGCCTTGGGAACGGCAGGAGTTTGCTGACGGGGCATCGGGGGTGCATTGCTCGAGAAGGTCACACTGAGAGAACCCCACGCTGCCTAGGAAGTGCCCTCGAGGGGCCAGCCAGTTCCCACTGGCTGACATGTCTGCCCTTTGCTGGGGCTCTGCCACTAAGCACCGTGTGCCCTGCAAAGGCCTGAAGTTGTCCCCGGCTCTCCTCTGCTCACGCCTCCCCCAGGAGCCTTCCCATGAGCCCCCTCTCCCCTCCGCCCAGGCTCTTGCTGCCTGACCTGTGCTCTTCCCAGGGGGACGGCCCGCTGGACAGCAGCGCCCTGGAGATCGCCGAGCGGCGTCTGTGTGTCGGTGCGCACAACGGTCTGGGCTTCGTGCAGAGGCCGCAGGTCATGGTGCTGGTGCCCGAGATGGACGTGGCCTTGACGCGCTCTGCCAGTTTCAGCAGGAAAGTCGGCTCCTCCTCCAAGTCCAGGTACGCTCCCGGTCCCGGTCCCGAGTCCCGCCCGGGGAGGAGTGAGCGGGCACCCACGTGAAGTTCCCTCGGTGAGGTGTGCCCTCGCCCACCGGGCCTTCCCTGGGGCCTGGTTTCCTCTCGCTAAGCCCCACCCGTTTGGAGCCGCCCTCGGTGTTGGGAGGTTGAGTAAGTCCTGTTTTGTGCTGTGGGTTTTGGAATCAGTATGGGGGCTGCTCCCCACGATGGCCGCCTGCAGTCTGTGCAGACGCTGCTGCTCCCCTGTGCGCCCTGAGCGCAGTGTCTCGCACGAGGGGAGTAGGAGGCAGTCCTCCTGCTGCTGGGCTCCAGCTGTGCCTCCCAGCCCAGGACCAGGCATCTCTAAGGGCTGCCCCCCAGGCGGGCAGAGCCGGCCCTGGAGGTGGAGCTTCCCAGAGCCTGGCCGCATCCCTCCACCCTCCGACACCTCTGGCAGTTTAAAACCTGCTCACTGTGGCCCCAGTAAAAGGCCCTGGTTTAGGGAGTCACCCTGGGAGCCAACACAGAGGAGCTCAGTGCAGTGCCCGGGGAGGGGGGGAGGGGGGCGTGCTGCCCGAGCCATGCCTGACGCGCCCCCACCCCCCGCTGTGCCCCCGCCCTGTGTCCTTGACCAGCTCTGGAAACCAGGCTCTGGTCCTGAGGAGCCACCTCCGACTCCCCGAGATGGTCCATCACCCCACCTTCGCCGTCGTCTTCCAGCTGGAGTACGTGCTAAGCAGCCCCTCGGGAGTGGACGGCAACGTAAGACCCCGCTCGGTTCACTGACTTTTCCCGTCAGAGCAGTGGGTGACGTTAGCAGCGGAGGGCAGCGGGTGTGGGAAACCTCTTCCTGACGGTAACGGTGACGCAGTCATCCGCGTCTGTGCTGACGCACCTGCTGGGGGAGCACATGTTCACGGCTCCGTCAGGATCGCGGTAACGTGCGTTATCCAGCCGTAGTGACTCTGAAGGATGAGGCCACTTCCTGCATTTTTGGGTATCCCTCACCTGAGGATATTTTTTCCATTGATCGTAGAGAGAGGGGGAGGGAGGGAAGGAGGAGTGAGGAGAGAGAAACAGCTGCTGGTATGAGAGAGACACACGGTTGGGTGCCTCCCACACATGCCCGCCTGGGGCTGGGGATCGAACCCACAACCAAGAAACGTGCCCTTGTCCGGGAATTGAACTGAGACCCTTTGGGCCGCAGGCTGATGCTCTAACCACTGAGCACACTGGCTGGGGGCCCTCCGTGGCTCCCTCCTCTGCCCCTGTCTGCACGCGGCCTCCCTCCGCGTGTCCCTGCCTCTCCGTCCTGCTCTTCCATGGACACTCGGCATTGGCCTGGGGGCCTCATCTCGCAGTACTTCATCCGTTCCATCTGCCGGACCCCTTTTCCAAGTCGGGCCCAGCCGCTGAGTCCAGGGGTCAGGGTGTGGACTTGTCTGCTGGGCCACGGCTCCGCACACCCCAGGGAGCCCGGTGGGGCAGTCCCCGGGGCCAGGGGTCGGTTTTCTGTGCGCTTTGCCGGTGAATGCTGTGTGACACGCCTGTTCCACGACAGACACACCTGCTCACGGTCCAGGTTATTCCTTGGCCTTTTGTGTATTGTTCGCTATTACAACTAAAGCCTAAATGGGAACAGTCAACGCACGGTTTTCCTTTTCAGTTTGCGAGTTTGGCAGGATAAGACGCTACAGATAGAGTGACAGCTCTGACCTCCGCCTCTGGAGTCCCCTGGTGGGCGGGCACCTGGCCGGCTCCTCCTCAGTGTGGGGGAGGGGCTGGGGAGGGAGGGCCCCCTGCAGGTGCCACCTGGCCTGCTTGGGAGAGCATGCAGGCTGATAAAGGGCCATTGAACTGCCTCGGGCCTAATCGTCTGGCTGAAGTCTTTGTGAAGCAGTGATCGATAGCTCACTAAGCATCCTCTCTCGTTAGAGGCTAGAAACAAAAGGGGGGAAATGGATACACGTGTAACTGAGCGAGATTTCACCCAGGAGAGAGCTGTATTGATCGCAACTGAAGCACCAAGGACTGCGGCGCTGGAGAACTCGGCATCAGGATCCCCCGGTGTGAAACCTTAGACCAGGCGGGTTACACAGGGAGCCTGGAAGCTTGGGTTTTATTTTTGATTCTGTAGTAAACTGGGTTTTATAGGTGACTGTTTACAAAAGTCACCTGGATGTGATTGAATCCCTGCAGTGTTTCAGTGGCCAGTTTTCTGAATACAGTTATAATACTTTCATTTTTTGAAGGCAATGGATTTAGGCCCTGGCCGGTGTGGGCCAGTGGTTAGAACACCACGGATGGGTCGTGGGTTTGATTCCCAGTCAAGGGCATGTACCTGGGTTGCAGGTTTGATCACCAGCCCAAAAGGGTGCGTGCGGGAGGCAACCAATGGGTGTGTCTCTCACATCGATGTTTCTCTCCCTCTCCCACTCTCTCAAAATCAATGGAAAAATAACCTTGGGTGAGGGTTAACAGCAACAAAAAAGGCAACAGATTTATAATCATCTCTTCACTAGTGTCCATCGCTCTTCCTTCGTGTATTGTGGCCACTCCCCGGTGTCCAGTGGCCGATCAGGACCATTTTCTCTGTCGCCGGCCACTGGGGGTGGGGGGGAGGCTGATTCTGAGAGTCAGGGTTGGGCCAGGGTCACACAGAACGGACTCAACTCTTGTCTCTGACGCTCTAGGCGGGCGCAGAGCCCAATGTTGAGGGTTGAGGCGCTGAGGGTTCTCACTTTGCTGATTCTTTGCTTGTTCTTCCGGGATGTGGGCTTTCCCTCCCTGAATGACAAGGACCACTCCCTGCCCCCCGCCTCCCCCCCCCCGTGACTGGGGAGCATGTGGCTTGGCCTCCCCTGTGATCTGAACTTTAGCTCCAGGGAGGGAGCAGTGGGTGGTGTGAGGTCCAGTTGCTCCGGGGACTCAGGGACGGTGGGGAAGACTGCCCGGTGGAAGGGGCGTGTCCTCTGCGTCGGACCCGGTCATGCACATGCGCGGACATGAGCTGCCAGCGAGCCAGCCCAGCCAGAGTCCTTTGTGTGCGTGTGTGCGACCTGCCTCGGACCCGAGCGCAATCAGGGCGTGGCCGTGTCAGCCGGATGAGCAGGGGGCGCCGGAGCCCAGCCACCCGGGAGCCGTGCCTCCCAGAGCTGAGTCACCGCCTGCGGATGCGGGTCCTGCGTCTGCCTCGGGTCCCTCTTTTGTAACATGGACGCGATGCTCACCGGCCTCGCCACCTGCTCTCCAGTTAACTCCACGCTGAGAGCCCCTGGGTCCCCACGTGGGCCGGGGGCAGCTCACGGCCCTGTGCTCTGTTTCCGTTGCAGGCGGCTCCCGCCTCCGCCGCGGCCAGCCTGGCGCGCATGCACACGGTGCGCTGGGCCGTCTGGAAGCCCCCGCCCGACGCCGGCTCCGGGAGCGCCACGCTGCCTCTCCAGGGCGGGATCCGGCCCAACCCCGCGCGCTGTCTGGTCTATAAGGTGCCCCCCGCCAGCATGAGCTCCGAGGAGGTAACTGTTAGGCTTCGTAAGTATGACCTTTCCCGCGAGCTTCCGGCCAGTTCGTCCGTTTTCAGAGTTGACAGTTATGTTTGCTGATGTTTCATGAGCAGAGGTGGTCCGTGTCATGGATGTGCCTGTAAGGGTGTGTGGTTGCTGCGTCCTATCCGCTGTGAGCGGGGAGGCCAGTTCCCGTGGGTCCTTACGTCGCGGCTCCCGGGTCCGTCTCCGGGGCGACCTGCGGGGCTGCGACTCGTGTTCGCACACACTCGGCACTGAGGTCCACTCTGCTGTGTGTCGCCTAGAAAAGGACTTCGTCACGGGTGGTGCCGGGGGGACGGCCCCTGTGGCGCGGGTGCTGGGGAGGGCGCCAGGCGGTCGGTGTCCAGCCCGCTTGCCCTGTGACCTGTCACTCACTCGCTGGCCTCTGGCTCTCTCCAGCCACGTACAGGCTGGGGCCACAGCAAGAGGTTGGAAAACCCACCTTTGAAATGAGGGTTTCTCTGAACCCCGGTGTAGAAAGCACAGAAAAGTGGGGCCGGGCCAGGTGAAGGGTGGGGGCCTCACCCCCTGGCCAGCGGTGGCCTTGCCGGGGGGTAGCAGCCACCAGGGAGACACAGGCGTGTGGCATCCGCCGCCCTGGCTCTCGTGCAGGCACATGCTGCCGGGCAGATGCTCCTGAAATACGCCTGCCGGTCTCCGCACGACTCAGCGTCTCATCTTTCCCAGGTGCAGGGACCGTCCTGCTGGCTCAGTGTCACCTGTGTGCTGATCCAGCGGCAAACACGACGTCAGTGCTGTTATTTATGACTCGGGTGCGGCTTTGGGGCCGAGCAGGGAACCGCTGAGCGTGCAGTTTGCTCTGTGAGGGATGCCGCTCATTACGGACACAGCTTGCTGCAGACCCACGTGGTCTGGTTGAGGCCTTGTTATAACATTGCCACCCTGCATGCCCCGCGCCAGGGCCGGCCCCTCGCTCAGCCTGTGTGTGTGTGTGTGTGTGTGTGTGAATATTTATTGTATGTAGTGTTAGAATTCTCCTGCCACCACGTTTCCTTCACTTCTTAGTCTGTAAATTTTACTGGGACGTACCCTTTGGGAGTTTGGCTATTTTAGGGCACAGGTATGTCAGAAGCTGCCATGTGTGACCAGGAATGTCACTTCCAACGAGTTTCTCCACACCAGCTCCGCGACATTTGGGCCAGATTACCCTGCCCGTTGGGGGACAGCGGCAGCCTGGCCTGCCTCACCCCAGCAGCACCCCCTCCCCCTTGCCCGGCTGTGACTGTCTGAATGCCTACAGACATCGCCAAAACAAAAAGCCACCAGCTGGGCTCAGTGGAGCCGACCGAAGAAAGAGTCAGTGCCCTTGAAGATAAGTCAATGTCATTTTTAACCCGAACCCCAGAGAGAAATGTGGCTGGGACCCGGGCTAGGCCTTTCGTCTCCAGTAGAGGAGACAGTGCAGTGTGCAGAAAAGCTTGAAGAAATAATGGCGGAACTTCCCAAATTTGGTGGAAGACATAAGTCTACAGATCGAAGAAGTTCCGTGCACCCCAGCGATCAACCAAAGGAACTCACACCCAGACACAGCGCATCAGGCTGCTGAGAAGTAAAGACAGGGCCTTGCAGAGCAGGGGGTGTGGGGGGGGAGATGGTGCGCCCCTTACAGATAGCAGCACGTGTGACTGTGGCCTGAGCACGGACCTGGGCCAGGAGGAGGCGGAGCCACAGTTCCAGGCGGAGCAGAAAGGCTCCAGAACTCGGGGCTCTGTTTCCAGCAAAAGTCCTGCGGGAATGAGGTGCAATAGCCACGCTCTCAGATGAACGAAGCGCGAGACTTGGTTGGTGGTGGACACGCGCTAAAAGAGTTACTACCTGAGTTTTCAGACGGGAGAGAAACCTACCAGACGGACACTCGGCGCATCAGGAGTGAGGAGAGCAGCCGAAACGATGTCACAGGTCTCCTCCCCCGAGTTTCTGAGTGTGAGGCTGAAGCAGAGGTGACAGCAGTGACAGGCTGTGGCAGGAACATGGAGACACTCGGTGGGACGACTATAAGTGAAGGGGAGGTCAGGGACCGGTGCGGTGTAGGGCGGCCGCACCCCACTTGAGGGAATAAACATCAGCGCTGAGTGTCTGTGAGAAGTTAGGTGTTTACGTTGTAACCGCAGGGCAGTCACTGGAGGCACCACACAGAGCGAGTGGAACCAACAGAGAAATGGGAGAATTCAAAAGAAGTCGGGAGAGGGAAGGCAGCAGCGCACACAGAAGGAGCTGCCAGTGAAATGCCGACCTGAACCCACACATCCCAGCCATTCCATACGGTGCAATATCTACACACCAAGCCAGCCGGCCAGTCGTCAGGTTGTATGAAAACATCGAGTCCAAACCACGCCGGCTCCCAGGGCTCACTTCAGATGTGATGGTGTCGGTGGTGAAAGACCGCAGGCCAACCGCAGCCCAGAGACAGCTGGAGTGGAGACAGAAATAAACCAATGCTTTCCATAGATCAATCAATCACTTAGGAGCAAAGGAAATCCCCAGGAATTAGACATTACATGGGATAAAGAGCCAATTCACCAAGAAGACATGGGCCCCCGAGAGTGTGTCTAAGGCCCAGCTTCAGAATTCACAAAGCGAAGCGCACGGGGACTGACAGGCGGACGGCGCTCGCAGGGACGCCGAGCCTCCGCCCTCCTCCGAGTGACCCCCAGGCACGCAGATGGGAAGTCCCAGGGCGAGCGGAGCCCGCAGCCGCGTGGACCTGTGGGCGTTTGCCAGGTGCTCCGCCCCCGGCAGCGGGGACACATTCTCTTCAGGTGCCGCGGAGCGTTCACCAAGCCAGACCTGCCCTGGGGCACACAGCCACCTCAGAAACGGGAAGGAATGAAATGATACGAGGTGCATGCTGTGATCGCAATGAGACCAGTTAGAAATCAGTAACAGATGAAAAAGTCACAAACACTTGGAAATTAAAACAACACATTTCTAAATAATCATAGTCTGAGAGGAAACCTCAAGAAAGAGGTAGTTGACATTCTGAACTGAACAAAAATGAGAATGCAACACATCGACGTGTGTAGGATGCAGCTAAAGGGCGCTTCCGTGGGAACGGATAGCATCATGTGCTGGTGCTAGACAGGAAGAGGGCCTCAAGTCAGCAATCCAACCTTCCACCTTTAGGAACCAGGAGAAGAACAGAATCAACCTAAAGCAAGCAGAAGTCAGTAATAAAGAGAAGAGCAGAAACCAATGAAACAGAAAACAGAAAAATAATAGAGAAATGGAGAAAATCAATGAGAGTAGAAATTGATCACATGAAAAGACCAATAAAATGATAAGCCTCTAGCAAGACTGAATAAAGAAAGCAGAGCGACACCGGTGACACATCAGGAATGAAAGGAGGGGTGTCCCTGCAGACCACAGTGTTAGGAGGATGTTAGGGGAATACAGACTGAACAGCTCTGTGGCCACAACTTTGACAACTTTCAGTGGTTCTCAACCTTCCTAATGCCGTGACCCTTTAATACAGTTCTTCATGTTGTGGTGACCCCCAATTTCATGGCTACAAATTGAACATAATTAAAGCATAGTGATTAATCACAAAAACAGTATGTAATTATATATGTGTTTTCCGATGGTCTTAGGCGACCCCTGTGAAAGAGTCGTTCGACCCCCAAAGGGGTCGAGACCCACAGGTTGAGAACCGCTGAGGATGAAACGGGCCAGTTCCTCTAAACCAGACTGAACACCCCAACCTGGCGTAGGCAACCCGAGAAGACCTGTAACTTGTATAGAAATCGGATTCATCGTTAAAAAAATGGAAAAACAAATATCCAGGCCTATTCCCTGTGAATCCTAACCATTCGGAGAACTGCCCACACCAATCCCAGGTCCTCTCTCCCAGACAACAGAAGGGATGGGAGCAAGGCCCAAGTCATGTAAGGAGGCTCGCATCCCACCGAGATCAGAAACAACAGGAAAACTGTGGGCCCTGATCCCTCAGAGCACAGATGCAAAACACGCAACAAGATGTCAGCAAACTGGGTCCGGCAGCAGGAAGAACGACACCGAGCAAGTGGGGCCGCCCCGGGAATGCCGGGCTGTTTCTTCCTGGAAACCAGGAGCTGCGACTCACCAGGAACAGCCTGAAGGCGGAGAGCGAGGGGCCACAGTGATAACAGCCTGAAGGCAGGGAGCGAGGGGGCCACAGCGACTCACCAGTAAGAGCCTGAAGGAGGAGAGGCGGAGAGCGAGGACTGAGCACACAAGGCGCAGGGGGGAACCCCCCACCTGCCTCGGGCGTCCTCAGAGCCTCTAGTGGGTTACACGTCACGGCAGGATGGCCAGCTCCCCCAGGTGGGGACGGGTGCAGCAGCCCTGCCCTGGGAGCTCCGGTGCAGCCAGCGAGGAGACGGAAGTAAAGGCGCGCAGGCTGGGCAGGAAGGGCCAGCGCCGCTCTGGTTTGCAGCCACGTGCTCGTCTGGGGGGCGGGGGACGCCCCGGGGCCACAGCACCCCCTGAAGTGAATGAGTGAGCTCTGGAGGTCGCAGGATAAGCAAGGGGTCGCCCGAAAACCCCCACCACGTGTCTATACCGCAGTGAAAGGAGGGAGGCAGCATTTACAAATGGTTATTTATACGGGCCTCCCTCAGTGAAACCCAACAGACGAATACGGCTCTGGGCACGAAACACTGAACCCCCTTCACCGTCGTCCTGTGTCACCGCGGTTACTCTGTGGGGTCAGGGGACCGGTCAGCGGAGAGAAGGGCCATCTCTGGGGGTCAGAGGCCTCAGCATAGGGAAGATGGACGCTCTCTCCGAGCTCATCAGCAGGCAGCGATGAGTTCTAAACATCCGGAGAACTACAGTCGGTCCCGGCAGGGTTCTTGTCGGTGCAGAGAGCAGGTTCTGAAACGCGTATGGGAGGCGGAGGGGCTAGAAGAGGGAAGCCGGTGGTGGAAAGAGCGGTGCAGTGGGGGGGGTGGGGGGCTCCCGCCGCAGTGAGGAGAGTCGGGAGGCGACGGCAGGGCGAGTGCTGCTGGGAGGGATGGCGTGCAGGTTGGCGGGACGGACAGCGCGGAGCAGTCGCCGCGGCCGTCTCCTGCGGAACCAGACACGCAGCCGCCTCGGCAGTGCTCGGCTTAGGAGGTGAGGACGTGGTCGCACAGGAGCGTGCTCACCAGTGTTCGCAGCAGCTCTCTCCGTCCCCCAAGCTGCAACAGCCCCGGTGTCCGCGAGTGGGTGGCTGGTACATCACGCGTGGCATGCCCCTTGGTGTGCAAAGGAGCGGAGGTGGCGATACTCTAGCACCTGGGTGTGGGGAGTGAAGGAAGCCGGTCTTAAAGGTCGGCACCATCGATGCCAGTCACATGATGTTCTTGAAAACCGGCCACGAGGGGGCAGCAGGAGGGAGGTGGGTGGGGGCTGCTCTGTGCCTGCTGTGCTGGGTCCCCGGCCCCGTGAACGGAACATCAGGTTTACACGGTCAGTTTCATAGCGTGTTCAGGGCTGAGACGGAGACGTGCTGCGAGGACCGCTGGTGTGAGGGCTGCTCTTCGACCACGTGGTCTTCTGAGCCGCTGACGTGGCTATAGTCTAGGGCAGTGGTCAGCAAACTCATTAGTCAACAGAGCCAAATATCAACAGTACAACGATTGAAATTTCTTTTGAGCGCCAAATTTTTTAAACTTAAACTATATAGGTAGGTACATTGTTATTAATTAGGGTGCTCCTAAGGCTTAGGAAGAGCCACACTCAAAGGGCCAAAGAGCCGCATGTGGCTCGCGAACCGCAGTTTGCCGACCACTGTTCTAGGGACCTGCGGCCCCCTGGGCGCGCGGGGCGGGCGATAAAGGACGCCGGCGGCCTGGCCATCTCTGCTCTCTGCTCTGCTGCAGGTGAGGCAGGTGGAGTCGGGGACCGTCCAGTTCCAGTTCTCGCTGAGCCCCGACAGACCCCCGGACACCCCAGGGCAGCCCCGGCCGGAGCGGCGGCCCTCGAGGAGGACGCCCACATGCCCCACAAGTAAGCGTTGGCGGGAAGCTGACTTCAGGCCCACAGCCCTCCCGCTGCTCCGGGAAAGCGCCAGGCAGCGCAGGGTGGGTATTGGGAGGTTCGCGGAGGGCTGTGGTCTCAATCGAGGTTGACTGTTACAGCAGGTGCGGCATGGCAGGGTGCTGCATTATGGGGTGCTGCATTGTGGGTGCTGCATGGGGGGATGTGTTGTGGGGTGTGGCATGGTGGTGTGCAGCATGGCAGGGTGCTGCATGGGGGCATGTGGCATGGTGGGTGCTGCATTGTGGGGGTGTGTTGTGGGGTGCTGCATTGTGGGGTGCTGCATTGGGGATGTGGCATGGCGGGGTGCTGCATTGTGGGGGTGTGTTGTGGGGTGCTATCTTGTGGAGGCGGCAAGCGTGGCCAGCTGTTATCCCTACGCGTCAGCTGCCAGTGAGCTCAGCTACTCTCAGCTCCCCGCTAAAGGCCCGGGGACGGTCCCGTTGGTGACAGCTCCCGGCCGCCTCCCATGGCTGCCCTGCGAACACGGGCACGAGAACCAGAGCTGGCCAAAGCCAGGGACTACCAGCTCTGTCCTGCGTTGTTAACACAGTTGTGAGTTTGTTGTTGTTTTTAGATACATTTTTATTGATTTCAGAGAGGACGGGAGAGGGAGAGAGAGAGAAGCATCAATGATGAGGGAATCATTGATCGGCTGCCTCCTGCACGCCCCGGACTGGGAATCAAACTGTGACCTCCTGGTTCATAGGTCGATGCTCAAGCTCTGGGCCACACCAGCCGGGTCAGTTCGTTGTTTATAAAAATGCTTTCTGCTTCCTTGGAGCCTGTGCAGGAGGGAGGCTGTGGCCTGTCTGTGGCTTTTAGGGAGGGAGTGCAGGTTACCCAGAGTGGCGTCCTGTCCCTCCGCGGGGGGTGATGGGTCCACGTTCGAGTAGGAGTCTGAGGAGCAGCTGTGGCCTCAGCTTTGTGCTCAGCACCTTCTGTGGTGGCAGTGCCTGGTGCAGGCCTCCGCTCTGCGCCCCAGGACACCCAGCCGGCGTCCTATGGCGAGAGGCGCAGAGGTCAGGAGGGAGCGTGGGGAGGTGCACGCGGATGAGTGTGCCGCGCCGGCACAGCCAGGGGTGAGCCTGAGGGGGGCGGTGAAGGATGATGAACAAGACAAGAGAACAAAGCTGGGGCTGGGTGGGACGCTGCCCTCTGATCAGAGAGACGGCGCCACGGCCTGCAAGCTGAGTCTATTTTATAGCCAGATTCCAGGAGGCAAAGCAAGGGCGTGGTCAGGATGTTTACAACGTTCTCGTGGATTTTGAATCTACTCCAGTGGTTCTCAACCTTCCTAATGCCGAGACCCTTCAATACAGTTCATGTTGTGGTGACCCCCAACCATACAATTATTTTCGTTGCTACTTCATAACTGTCATGTTGCTACTGTTATGAATCGTAATGTAAATATCTGATACGCAGGATGTATTTTCATTGTTACAAATTGAACATAATTAAAGCATAGTGATCAATCACAAAAACAATATGTAATTATATATGTGTTTCCCGATGGTCTTAGGCGACCCTTGTGAAAGGGTCGTTCGACCCCCAAAGGGGTTGCGACCTACAGGTTGAGAACCGCTGATCTACTCAATTACCTGCACCTGATCAAGCTTTGTTTCCTGCTGCACCTCCCGCAGCTCGTATCACTCAGCCACGAGGGACCACAGGTTCGGACCATAAGGTCAAGCTCACAGCCACAGCCTTTGGCTGTAATTGTGCTGGGAGGGCTTTGCCTTCCAAGCTGGGACTTACACGTGGCTTTGCCACAAGAGGACCTGCCCTCTCATTAGTCCGAGGCTTGAACCTATCCAAACGCTATGCCCAGTGGTTCTCAACCTTGGCTGCACATTAGAATCACCTGGGAATCTTTTTAAAATCCTGATTTCTGGGCCTTATCCTCTGGAAATTGTTTCTTTGTTATGGGGTGGGGCCACAACATTAGTCACAAAGAAACAGAAGTTCCGGAGGATGAGGCCCAGAAATCAGGGATTTTAACAAGATTCCCAGGAGATTCTAATGTGCAGCCAAGGTTGAGAACCACTGCTG